TTCAAGCTTATTAATGCTGTCATATCTCTTTCCTTCAATCATTTTTTGTCACGTGATAAATAAGACACGGCATCAAAAAATTTTTATGAATGCACAAATCTACAGGAAGCCCATATCCGATTTAGTTCTTGAAAAACACAGGAAGCCCATGGCCGAGACCATTTGAAATACCAAAATTAATAAATGATTTTATAATCATTTTATATTTGCTTATTTTTTCTATGATTGAGAGTCGATGAGAGGTCGATGAGAGGTCGATGTAAGATTACCTCCTCTCCTCCTGTTATCAGGCTATCAATAGCTTAGCTATCAGGCTATCAACTACACTTCATCAGTAGGGTAAAAATAACCTGCCTCACCACGGTCTAAACCCAGCTCACGTTTCCTCAATCCAACACTTGGCGRATTCTGCTTCGCAATGATAGGAATAGCCGACTTTGTAGGATCAAAAAGCAACGTCGCTATGAACGGTTATCGCTGCCACCAGCCAGTTATCCCTGTCCCAACTTTTCTGACACCTCTAACTTAAAACCCCTAAAGACTAAAGGATTGATAGACCATGCTTTCACAGTTTTTAGTCATGCCGAAAATCAAAATCAAGTAAGGATTTACAACTTGACGTTATCAATTGAAAGATTTCCCGCCCCCGCCAAACACCCAACCTGATAGTGTCTTCGACTCTGATTGGTCTGCAAAAGAGAGACCTTAAATCCAGAACGCCAACCTTTCTTCTCCACATCGTCAGCCACGTCTTGTTATTTCTTGTCAGGCTCTCTCTCTATGCAATACCTTACCATCAACAGTTGAGATCACACGCAGTCATTGGCCGTGTGGGCCAAACTCCAGACTTTGTCTTCTTTGCGCAACTTTCGCAACGTCTCCCCGAACGCACCACTGGCATGCACGCAATTCAAGAGGCTTATACTATTCACAAAGCCCGGCTACCAGCACGGCGTTCTTCCGCGGGCCATAAGCATTAAACGTATGCCTATGCATACCAGAACTTCACACTTATTTTTCCAATGCCGATGTCAGCGCAACCACTTCTCCAATACTTTTCCTTACGGATCTCCACAATGCAACTGCTAAATATCCCAAGAAACCAACTCTTGTACTCGGCTTTAATTCGAGCTATGAGGCATCTATTCAAATATTCATCTAATTCGTCATTTGAATATCGGGTCTTTAAGATACGAAGGTTCATATTTCCAATATGTTAATCACTATGACGTAACATAAGGGATTTGAGTTAATTTGTGGCACTTTTAATATTGAACACTGGACCTTTTTTTGAAAACAAATTTGTAAGAACCTTTACGTGAGTCATGAGTAAAAGGGAGATGCTTTTAAAATAATGTATTCCAGAACGAGTGCAGTGTTGTATATTAAATGATCCCTTATGTTACGTCATAGTCATTAACATATTGGGAATAAAAACCTTTGTATCTTAAAGACCCGACATTCAAATGACGAAATATTTTCACAATCAACTATCCACTATCTAAAAAATCAATTCTGAAAATGTTGTGCAAAGACTCATAAACACTTTAACCCTAACCCTAACCCTAACTCTTGTTCAGGAATAAAGAATTTTTTGTATTATTTTATTCATTTAGATTGAGATATATTTAGATAGATTTTTATTGACAATTTTATCGCAGCCCATGGGCTAAGTTGCGTAATTATGTACAAACAATAAAAAATATATATAATTATAATAATAATGATAATAATTAAAAAACAATATTAATAATAATAATAATAATATAGATAATAATAATAATAATAATAATAATGATAATAATATTGTAGCAATATAAAATTGTAGCAATAATAAGTCTAACAAATATTTATATATATTTTTTATATATGTTTGTTGGATTGAGTACTTTGTTTGACTCTCCGGAATACATATTACATTTAATGGAGGGGTTATTACATTTATGGTGGGTTTTGATTATTACATTTATGGTTAAATTTGATTACATTTATGGTGGCGTCGATTATTACATTTATGGCTGACTGTTATTACATTTATGGTAGATTTTTATTAAATGTATGGTGGGTATTACATATATGGGTGTTATTACATTTAAGGGTAATATAGCAGCTGTTGATGTTGGCAACTCTAATGTTTTTTTTTTTTCTTTTTTCGTTGAAAAAGAAGACGAAAACGTTTTCAATATATATTCCGAGCCCCATCAAATATTTATATATTGTGCGGTCTCTATCTTGAATTTAAAATTATCAAATGGCCTATTGTCAATTGGTAAATATTTATAGGTGGCTTATGAATTTTTCAAGATGTGTTTCATTCAGTGACTTTTCCGGCGTTCAATATTTACTTTTTCTTTGAGTCACTTTTCACTTTTAAAAGTACTAGTAAAAGTTAATTATTAAATTCGTTAGAGGGGTAGTTGAAATGTGTGTGATTTTTTAATGAATTAATTGTGCTTGTGTGTTTTTCGGTTTTGAATTAATTCTGAGTGTGTAAGAAGAAAGTAACACATATTTCAATATAACCAGCCTCGATCTTCTATCTTATACAGTTTATTTGTGAATTCATAATTATTAACTATAAATAACCCATCACTTATTATTATTTGAGATGGTTTTTCATTAATAAATGCTGTGATGTGTTTCTTTCATCGGTCATCTCCACTTCCAAACAAGTTAAACGATTTGAATAACAATATTTTAGTCTTGTACAACAGCCTTTTTTCAAGAAAATAGTCTTTGGCGCTTACCGCTTGAATACGAAAAGAATTCTCTTTTAATAAGTAATATATTAAAGATATTAATATTATTTTGATAGTTGTATCTTAATTTTTATCAAAAGCTTTTCTTTGGATATACCATTCGTAATTTCCAGCATTGGAGGCAATATTTCGAAATATTGAGTTGGCTGCTGAGTTGGTTGCTAATTTCAGCGCGGTTAAAGAAAGCAAAGTAAAGGCACATAACAAATTTGGTCTGTTTTATTTTAAAAAAATCATTTTGGTTGCTATTTAATTTGTAGAGCAATATATCCATAGTTCCGAACTAGACAGTAGCGAACGAATCACCATTACTTTGCAGCAGTTTTGCMAGTGGAATTATGTCCCACAAACAGCTACACATTGTTTGTTTTAAAGAAAACTACAAGGGTTACGAGTCAGTTTTATTTTATTTTTTCATACATGAAACCGGCAATTGAAGCAACTTATGATATAAACGTGTTGATATAAACACATTGTTGCATATCAGTGCCTGGTTCACACGAACAGCGCATCTCGAAACACCAAGCGGCGCAAACTAAGCAATGTTCAAACATGAAACGTAATTGCAACCAAATTAAGATATATACTCAAGCGCAGTGGTACTTGGTTACATCAAAATTGGTTTTCATTTTTCGTTTGTGTTTGCGTTGCTGTAGTTAATCACACGCAATTTTCCTTGCGTTTGCGTTTGCGTTTGCGTTTGCGTCGATTCCAGCATACACATAAAACGCAATTGAAAAGCCAATGCAAACGCAAGAACACATAAAATAAACCGTTGTTATTCTTTGCGTTTGCGTGGCTCGATCGTGTGAGCAAGGCTTGATGGCGCATGTGCATGTCCCCATCCATTTCATACATTTTAGCACCAAAACGCAAAATGCTTTTCCTTCGTTGGTTTCGGTTAGCAAAAATGGGTTAACTTTTAAAACCATTCTTCAATAGGAACCGATTCCAAAACGCTAGCTTATTTTTAAAAGGGAGACTTTCGGAAGGGGAAAAGCGTCGGCACAGCCAGCCAATAATYCACACTCAATCTAGCACTAATTGTGATGTTTTGGGGTTTTACGTCTCAAGACCTTTAAAACATTGTCTAAACGATAGGAACCAACGCTAGCTCTTTTATGTGTTTATTATATAAAAACGAACATATGTGTACAGATCCAAAGAAAACATCAAGGTGATTGTCCACTAAAATTGGAAAATGACAACTGAAGAAAACTACAAATTATAAATGCCCTTTTAATGCCTGCTCAAGGTGAACATTTTCCCATTTCACAAGTTTGAGCCTCCATTGGAATTCCGACACAGGGATTGGCTAAATCTTGACAAGCACGTGATCGGAACCGCTGACCAGTACCACACGTCACACTGCAGCTACTCCAGCTTGTCCATGGGCCACTGTTACTTGTTCTGTCTTCACGCTTCGAGAGCATTTCGACGTTTCTTTGGACAATGTCTTCAAAGTTGTTGATGATGCCGCTATCGACGTAATTTAGAAGACGCCTATTGATCACGTGTCTTTTACCAACGGCACCACTGCCTGCATTGCCTTCAGTAACGCAAAAATTAAAGTTGAGTTAATGATAATGGGTTTTTTTTGTGCTCCTTGGCATCTATATTATATCTTTCCGTAGAATGAATATTGCTTCAATAATCATATTTCACTGTATTGTATAGTCTGAGAAACTGAGCACATGGAGGAAATTGTCCTTACTTCTTATCGGTAACCTGACTTATTTATGAATTTGCTTGTACGTGATTTACCCACGTAAATCTATAAATAAAATGCATTCATCCTCTCCTTTACTTGGGCCCGGGGACTCGCTACTAATACACCTAGCCTTGTATTTGAAAACGCAGCTCGTTTTCTGTACCCTCATTATGATGTTGAATAAAAATTGATGAAAAAGTTCTAGAATACCTGGGGTTCTGCACTCCTGCAGCTGGCACTGAGATGTCAACAACATGAGACCAAGACATGGTCTTCCACCATAACGGGAGAATGGGTTGGAGCACATCCGTAGACGAAACTTCTGTCCTTGACCACAGGTAGTACTACAGGGACTCCATGGCCCCCAGAGACTCCAACCACCATTAACTATTGACATGAAATAAAAGAAATAGAACATTATGAATTGTATAGATAAATTACTGTAGATTCATCAATTTTTAGAGGAAAACCTCGGATTACACCWTGGACAGCGATCCGTTCTCTTCACTCATGTTAACATCAACTTATAAATAAAATTGGCTGCTGAAGACGTTTTGAAGAAAATAATACTAATAAACACCTCCACTATGCACTACGCATATGCTCATTAATTAACCATTCATTGTGGTTCTATGTTTCAGGGAAACTATGTGCGCCACTAAGAAGACTTAACATGGACGTAGTCGTCATAAAAATTGATTGAAATTTGACTTTCAAACTCTTTTACTTATTTTCAATAAATTGATAACATTTAATTTACAACACTTTTTGATTTTAAGCCGTAAGATATAAATAAAAATATCATAAAACTTACTCATTTCACGCACTGATTTATAATTTTCCCTTCTCCAAATCTCACAGGTTTCGGAGACCAATTAGCTAGTAGCCCCGGGCTAGTGAAAAGACTTTTCTTTCTTTAAGAAGTAAATTAATTTAACATCGAAAAAAAAAGTATTTATAGACATGATTATAATAAGTATATATATATGTGATATTTTTTATAACTATAATTACTCGGAYATTTGATGAGGGGCTGACATTCTCTCTAGGCACCTTGGTTATCAACAGTCATATTCTTATGTAAATTAYCAACGAATAATGTAGACTATTTTTCACCTGGGCATTCTCTCTCACTACTGCATTCAACAGTTTCATGGCTGGTACCCTGGCAACCGCTACCACCATTCGCTGGAGAAGGATCATCACAAGTACGCATGCGTTGTCGGTTTCCATTTCCACAAGATCTAGAGCACTGACTCCATATGCCCCATGGTGACCAGTTGCCATTGACTRTAAACCATAAATATTAACCAAAGACTATTTAATTTACATTAATGGACCTCCAAACAAAAACTTTGAAACATTTTCTAGATCAGAAGAAACAAAAAAGAAAAACAAACAAACAAACAAACAAACAAACAAACAAACTAAAAAAAAATTCTAGATAAAGTTTCGAAATAAATTTTAATTGACTTTGCAAACCTTTTTGACAACATTTCCCAGCGTATCCAGCTTGACATTTACACTGATCGCCTAAAGGTGTTCCGCCATTCAAACACATTCTGTTGCAGGGTTGGACCTCGTGCAAGAAATACTCACATGTGCCTCCACATGTTGGCTCAGTTATAACCTTGAAGGAAAAGAGAATACAAACTAGGCATTTGGGATGTAACGCGATTGCGTAGAGTAATATATGAATAAAGGCATTTTAAACGAATCCTGTTCTATAATGCGCAACTTTAATTTATTGGTAGCTAGTTCTCTCCATTTGTTCTCTCCGGTGCTTTTAAAATCAGCGGTCGACTACCGCTTTTGGACGTCTGTCTTCAATAAAATACTGCTAGCTGACTGCTAGCTTGTAATGAGTGATCTTACTGAAGCACAGGGCTTTCAGAATACTAAGTACTGCCCCTGACTGCTTGTTTTACGATAGCAAATAAAATTATGCAATTGAATTGAATATACATGTTTTATAAAAGATTGTCAGTTACCTTTCTTGATCTCTGTTTCACTCCATCGTTACCACATAAAGAAGAACATTTGGACCACTTGCTCCACTTGCTAACACCACAGGGAGTCTTTTTGCAGGCTGTAGTAACCGGCCTAGCCGTGGTTGAAGGTTTGCTTTGCGTTGTGTATGCTACTTGAGTTGTTAGACGATGATTGTGACGAGTACACGGCGTCTTGGCTTTAYGAGAAGGCTTTATAAGCCCTGTAACTGGATGTTCACTTGGATGAGCAGTTGGTCGAGTTAAAAGAAGATGGTGTTTGTGCTTAGTACATGGTTTCTTTGTTCCTTGATGCATTTTCTTGGCCGAGTTACATCGACAACTAAAAACCAAAAGCAAAAGAAACCAAAAAAGAGGCACAAGCTTCATTCTGTAAAGATACCGAGTCACTCAGTCCTGCAAATCAATGATTCAAGAATCCTACGAGGAAAAAAACCCTAAAATTGGAAAAAAAAACAAGACAAAATTTCAATAGCGAAGGATGCCGCTCAAAAGAATGCTATTTGTTTCCTTAGACCTAAGTCAGTCAGTACTATTAGTGTAGGAATGTTTACTTAGCTTTTGAATAGCATTATGCAAAATCGTTTCGTGAGACCTTAGTGAGCTGCCTTAGCGATGATGAATTGAGCTTAATTAGTATTGACTTACGTTTGTCGGCAGATTCGGTATTATGAGAATATCAAAATATCTAAKTGATAAACTGATTTCTTTAAACTAATTAAGATTAGAAGAAAAAGTTTTGCTCTTTTGTGAGTTTAAATCATACAATATACCTCAATATACGTACACAATGAATGCCTTACGCAAAATTAAAGCTTGTTTAGTTAATGGTGACGACTTCGCTTCGAGCGTTCGTCATCAGATTGCTCTAGGTATTGTATGAAGATGGGTTTTATTCAAATACGCGCTCGGTGTCGTCATCAAATAATTAAAGTTAGGGAAGCATTGATCACCTTTATCTTTGAAAAGCTAGGAAATATATATTTTTTCTTTCAGTTTTTACAGCTTTTGCAAATTTTAAAAGCAAAAAAAAAAAAAAAAAAAAAGGTTATAAAATGTTCGCATTATTTTCTCAAAATCTGCGCCACAGAATTTTGTAACTCATGTATCATAATTTATGTAAATGAAGCAATTTGAAAATAAAACTAGGGAAACACACATAATTTGTTTTTTTCTTAATTTTGATATTTCCTTACGACTTTGATTTATTTAACGCTGTTTCAAAAAAAAAAAAATTATTATAAACTTCAATTATTGTCTAATATTTGATGAAAGTTTTATGGTAATTAAATAAAAGCAACATTATAAACGAAGCGAATAAACAAGCTTGATGTGGTCGGCTATAAACTGTACCCTACCACCTTAATGACAGGGTTATATATTATATCATTTTATTATACATATTTGCCGATTAGCCTTCACATCTGGACGGCTTTAAGGTACGTGTATGTTACGTGTGGATAAGAAATTTATAGGTAAATGRGATTAAGAAACCCGTTTTATATTTAAAACAAAATCCAACCAAGTTCGATCGAGAATCAAATAATAGGTATTTAGTAACAATATCTCCAATAGTTTTCGTAGATACAGCCGCCTGCTCAAAATATTTAGATTTACAAACATAAAAGAATCTTGTAAGGCATTTATTTTTTCAAATAAGGGCTTTTGAGCAAAATTTAAAAAATATGATATAGCTGCATCCACCAAAGAATTGAAATTGCGGGCTTCCTTGGGTTTTGCCGGGAAAATTAGAAAACACACCCAGAATGCATTGCAATAATTAAGTATAAAAAGGTGCATGTCATGGAAGCGAGGCAAACGGAAATGAAGCAATGGCGGATTGTAATAATGGTTGCTGTTTCTGCACTAACCATCCTATTCTTCGTTCAGTTAGGGTACAAAACCACTACTTTTTGTTTCTATCTATGTCTAATTATTTCACTGACACATTTTTCTTTCTTTTAATAGCAGTTTAAAGTTCTCTAAAGCCTCGACGAGCAAAGGAAATGGAAACAAATCCGAACCAAGTTTATTACTGAATGAAAACGTTGCTCGTCATGTCCAGGAACCGTCTGCTGCCTCTTCTCCCAGTAACAAAAACTTTAGTCGCAAGTTACAAAATATTTTTCATAAAAAAATAGCGAATAAGAGTCTGGCGAAAACAAAAAGTAAGATATTGTATTGTAAGCTGCTTTTACTAGTGATCTGTAAACTGCATATGTAATCTCTGTTCCTCTCTGTTATACTATATAAAGCTTGACGTCACCTTAGTCAGTCATCTTCGATATCAATAACATCTTACGTTCTTGTTCTTTAGATGTGATAAGAGAATCTAAAAAACACACTYATTACTGTTGGGAAGAAGAAAAAGTTGAAGATATTGGCGAATGTCTGYGTTGCAGCTCCTATGAAAAGGTATGGTGCCAGGATGGATGTAACAGCTGTAGATACAGGGTTTTYTATAAGAGATTATACACTGGTTTTGACCTTATACCTGATACTGTATGTGCTATGGACTTGTAAGTTTCACAAGTGTGAACTCTTATAGAACTAGATGCATAAATGTGTGAACTTGAGATGCCGATAAGACTTCTTGAGTCGAACTATTCAAACTTTCATTATCTGTTTCTATTTTCAGAGAGTTAGTCCTGTCTGTTTATTAACTGGCAACAAACAACTTGTATTATGTAAAGTTAGTAAGAAGAGAGTATATAAAAGGTAAGCATTGTATTGTTGTTGTTGTTGTTGTTGTTACAGTATACAGGTGGGGAATCCAGGATTTTTAAAGGGGGGTGACTGTTATGAGGTACCTTGCTCTATAGTATTAAATACCACAGAAAACACATAAAAGGTGGGGAAATAGTAAAGAAATTGCATCTCAAGTTGACAGACATTAATTTTGAGAGCTTCAAGTAGACTGGATAAATGTGTTTTCAGTAATACATTTTTTATATAAATATTTTTTTCATTTGTGAAAAAAAATAGCTTCACTAGTCAACTACCTCACCACCACTGGATTTGCCTCTGGATATTTTTGAATTTAACTACATAACCTGGTTTGACAAGGACAGCAGAGCACATTTGCAGGTGGGGGTGGGGTGAGCTAGAATAATATTTTTTGGTCAAAGCTTGAACTTAAAATGGCCAAGATTTCACCATTGTAAAAATGGGGAGGGGGTTGGACTAAAGCTACTCCCCTACCCCTGGTTCTGCCATCTGTTTGAATGTTGTTAAATTGCTTGTACATCCTTTCAAAAACAAAAAGCAAGAAAACAACAACAACAACAAAACAAAAAAAAAAAGAAGAAAAAAAAAAACAACCTTTGAGCTGATCACAGTCAATTCTATTGTACATGGTATTCTTGGTTGGGGTTTTTGTATTGCAGGGTATTGTTTAGCCCCAAACTCATTGTTTTTGGCTATTGTTCTATTGTCTTCAATGCTCAGATGCCCTGTAATACCAAGAAAGAGCCCAATAATYGGTGTTGAGAATGAAATCCAGGGTAAACCCTTTGGTAACCCTAGAGACACTGTTATCAATGAGAACCTTGGCATATCGTTATGGTATATTMTCAGTATCTTACCTCGATGACATGTTTTAACGTTTGCTTTCTTGTACTTCACTCAAACAGTTGTCTATATGTGAAATGGATTGAAGAAAGGAATTTTTGGACCTTTGAGGTATAGTTACTGTACTTTTAAAAAGAAGATATGTTATTGTGAGATGATTATCATAAACAGGCTTTTTTGGTAGGGCCAGTTGTTGTCACTTCGCCTGCTTGAAATTGTTTTATTTACATAGACCGTACAGTTTGTGTGTGAAATATTTTTGAAATATGCAGTGTCATAAAATAGCAGCAAATTTTAATCAAAAAAGGATCGGAAAATTTTTCTTTAAAACTTTCATAGCAAAAGGTTGTGTTTACCTACTATTTATTAAAAATTGGAGCAACTTTCATTGTTACTATTAGCTATTAGAGTTTTAAGAATTGAAACTTAGTTTTTTCATTTTGCTCATCAAAACATTCGTATGATGTCATCATGATGAATGTCATTTTGACATTCTTTCATCTTTATTTTTTCAGGGTGTTTCATTTGTATTCCTACTCGTATCAAGCTTGTCAGTCTGGCAAAGAAACAAGAAACTAGATGCTATTTATAGAGAAAGACTTAGGAAGAAAGTATCCAATGATGATGTGTAAATTATTTTTATAATTTATTGAAGCCTAATACTGTACTTAATTGTATAAATTATTAATCAGCACGAAATATGTGGAATGACTTTAAATTTCACCCMGTATGGCCTAGTTTTTACAGAAGCTGTACATGCTTTGGTCATCAACAACAATCATGCTATTTACATGTATACTATGGTGTTCAGAAATCAGACTTATTACGCAAACCAGAGGTTATCAGTCAGCTAAGCAACTGATACACCTGTGTATTTTTACGAGTCAAGGAGTATTTTGGTTAGCCTTTAGGTGATCCTAAATACAAGTGATGAGTAAAAATGCACAGCCATATCAGATGCTTAGCCGACTGATGAGTTGTTCATCATTTAATTCTACGAGGAAATGCTCAAACTCCCTCTAAACTCGATTGTATGCGATTGCAAGCAGATGAGAAGTGCAGATACGGTCTCATATCATGCATTATCAACAAATAAGCATGATAGAGTGCAAACAATCAATCCGTTAAACACTAATTACTAAATAGTACAAAATAGTGCCAATTAAACAATAGAAAACAATGGAATAATTGCATGAAATTGTGCTATTTAGTATTACTAAAGTTTCACGGTTATATTGTTTGCACTCTAACAACGAATCAGCTTGCTTAATTCACTGCTGCACAGCTCATGAACTGGTTATATCAAAGTACAAAGACATGCATGCAATTTATATTCCTTAAGGGATTGGTCATTATTTGTCGAGGGGGGAGCTGGTGCATTATGAAATATGCTATGCTTGATTTTTGCTGACCCCCCTTCTTTTTAAGCATGATGTTTGCTGATTTTGCTGATTTTTGCTTAAACYTATGCATAAATAAATACTGATCCACACCCTATTTGCACCAGCCCCCTGCCCCCCCTCCTTCTCGATAAATAATGACCAGTCCCTAAATTATATATACTGTATATTATACCCTTTGTTTCTTCAATAGATTGTTTGTAATCAATATAACTTTTAATTTCTAGGTTTACTTATTAATATGCCTTGTGTTTTTTTAGGTTGATAATTATTATGATGTAATATAACATCGTGAGATATTAATTATTTAGGTTTTTGTAAGTATTATCCATTATTTATTTCAACCAAAAGCAATAATACTTTTCTACTTAGCCTATTTCTTTGGATAATAAAAGACCAGTCACCATAGTATAACATTTTCCCAGTGGAAAAATACACTTTCTGCTCCCAAAGGAATGTTTACCAGGAATTTTTGTTAATTTTTTCATAGGAGAGTACCAACTTTGAACAAAATACACATTGTAATACTATTCCTCATTGAAAATTTAAATTAAAGATACCTGTATTCCAACTAATAATATATTATTATTTGGGCTTGTGGGACATGGGAATGGTAACTATGTAAGGGGAGATGAAACCATGAATACAGTTTCCCGGATTCTTGGGAAGCATGGGTGGCATAGTGGTGTGAGCACTTGCCTCTCATCAATGTGGCCCGAGGTCGAGTCCCGCTCGGTTTGGTGTTTGTAATTATGAGTAGAGTTGTTTGTTGGTTCTCTCCTGCGCTTTGAGGGTTTTTTCTCCGGGTTCTCCAGTTTTCCTCCCTCCACAAAAATCAACTCCTAAATTCCGATTCGATCACTGAATGAGGGTCACAGGTTTGTTAGCCACTGGCTGCTAAGTACTACCCTCGTGAAAAAAGGGATTTTTTGTATTACCTATACAAATCTTACGATCTCAAGTACAATTCGGTATTTATAGTTACAAATATAAAATGTTTTAAAAGTTTTCAAAATTGGCAAGCCTTTAGGCGAGTCCAGTTTGAGAACTTTCAATCTATCGATCCTGAATAATTTTGCAATGAGATCGTGTGATTTCTTGTTCATAATACACTAAAACAAAATTGAGCAACGTAATTGGGACTCTACAGAATACAATTTGGGATTTAATTATACTCCTCTTGTCCAATCAGAATAGAGTAATTTTGTAGAGTGTATATATAACATGAATATAAATTAATTATACTTTGTTTCCCTTGAACCAGACATCATCGAATTTCAATCATTATTTTGTGAGATAGCTCTCAAATGAAGAAAGTAACTAAAGGTGTTGCATGCTGCATACCAAGCTTGACATGTATTATATTCATATCTAAATAATGTCAGCACAGAAGAAAATATGCTAGAAAAATGTGCAGACAAAGTTTGGTAAAATTCCATGTCACTGTGAGCTTTTACATATTTGATTTACATTTGCCCCATAGTGCAGTGGGCTTGGTATGCAAAATGTAACAAAACCTTCACCAGCCTTTTTTTWAAAATAGCTGTATGATCATGATCATATTGTACTTAAAAGTATGAGCAGACTTTGGTGAGTTCTAAAGTCAAATACAAATCTATTTGTACTTTTTCATATTTTCAATACAAGGACCTGTACGTGATTTGTTTATATATTTGCAAGCTTTGCCCAGTGGGTAGGCTAGGGGATGAACTCACAGAGCAATGCTCCATCAAAAGGCCCTTTTAGTGGAAATAAATAAACAAAGAACTGCAAGCAGAAAAGGAGTCCATATTACCTGTCTAATACTATTACATGTAAGGGGTAGTTAAATACTGCTCCAGTGCATAAACAAAAAATTCTTTCAGTTGTAATAAAAAAATCAGATCCATTTAAAACATAAACAGTTTCTTTCATACTCAGTTCAGTAAAAAAAAAACATACAAGAAGTTACGTAAGCATAAAGGAAATGTGAAAAGCACTAAACTCATATAGCTTGTCACATTTCTTATATGCTTTCAGTAAAAATCCCTAAGYATAAATCTTGGATTTACCACTCCATAGTGGACAGAAAGCCTAAGAGGTTTTGCAACCCACTTSATAAGGCTACTGAAAGATCGAATTAGAATTTAGAGGTTGATTTTTGTTGAGGGAGGAAAAACCAGAGAAAAAAAAAATCCTTCAAAGCACAGGAGAGAACACTGAGCTTTGGGGGACTCTAACCTTGTGATCGTCTTGGTGAGAGGCAAGTGCTCTGAACTGCTTATTTGCTATGCCAACAGCAGTCACCATAAAGTGTTTTACACATATTGTAATCGAACATAGTATTTAGTAGAGCATACAATGCATGTTTTATAATAATTATAATGGTGTTAAGATAAAAGGTCTACAGTGGAACCCCGTTAATAAGGACACCGTTGGGACGGACAAAACTGTCCTTACTAATGGGGTGTCCCTATTAACCGAGGTGTCAGAAAAACAGCTGAAAACACATTTTTAACCATTTATTTTTACTGTACTGTAAAGCTTGAACTACAACATTCAATATAACAGCCTAAACTAGAACAAAAAGTGCATTACCGTACAAGAACTACATCCGCACTTACTGCACAGTATTGTACGATTTCATTTTAAGTTGAGTTCTGGGAAATAACAGTGCAATGGTTTTGCGAGCTTTGTATATTTCATTATGCTGTAATAGGAAACTCTACTGCAATGATCAGAGGTGTGGTCTGTTGATATGCARAAACTGACAATATAATCTGTATTAAGCTCATTATATCAATAAACAAATACAGTAAAGACGTCTTCAAATTTCAAGTGTCCTTAATGCGGGGTTGATT